AACAAGGACGTGACTAACAGAGAAAAGAGAATTGTTGTGTTTGGTCTACCAGAATCTGTTAAAACTCAACCAAACGAGATAACCAAAGATGATACCGCGGAATTCAGACCACCTTTATCCCATATAGATGATATAAATAAAACAATTATTTCAGCTAAGCAAGCTGTTGTTAGAAAAGCGTATAGTTGTATGTTATTAGCAAGTGATTTCAACTTTCCGGATATTAAATGGCATAATGACGAAAGAATCGAATTACTAAGCGGTCAAAATAGTGCTGCAAGTGTTTTTCTTGTAGCTTTGGCTAATCATAATCTAGAACAATTAGTTGATTTCTCAACCTTCGAAGCATCTAATGGAAATGCAAATAATGTTTTGGATTTAATTATTACAGACTCTTCAACTAGAGTAATCAATTTATCTAGCTCTATGCCGTTAGGTGATTTGTCACAATGTCATCGCATATTGAGTTGGGATTATGTCGTCCTTTCTAAAAATAGGACAACTTTCTCAAACAAAAAATATGATTTTAATAAGGGTGACTATAAAAACTTTGGTAAAAAGATTATGGAAACTAACTGGCAGCAATTATTTGAAAATAAAAACACTAACGAATGCTATGAACTTTTCTGCAATAAATATGATAAACTCAGCAAGCAATTCATCCCGTTAAAAAAAGTCCATTCTACTCGTAATGCACCGTGGATGAATAAGGAAGTATTAGCTATAATAAAGAAAAAACAACAACTTATCTATGACAAACTGGCGATCAACGACCCTCATTTGTGAATATAAGAAACTAAGAAGCTAAGTTCAGAAAGGATGTACACATCGTGTTCAAGTATTTGAAGCCCAACTGGCATCAGATAAAAATAATCCAAAAAGAATGTATGCTTATGCTAAAGCGCAACAGAACGTTCATGTATCTATTGGTGCTATATCAGATGCAAAAGGTGAAACGTTAACAGAGGCAATACATATCGCAAACAGACTTAACGAACACTTTAAATTAGTTTTTGTTGATGTAATAATAAGTTTTGAAGCAACGCTGAACAAACCTATTGGTGTTGATAGCATTAGTCCAAAGGTACTTAAAGAATGTGCAGCTCAAATGAATTACCCTCTAACGTTAATTTACAATAAAGCACTGTCTGAAGGCTCAACACCTTCAGCCTGGAAGCAGTCACATGTTACACCGTTGTTTAAAAAAGGGAGTCGTCTTGATGCTGCTAATTACAGACCAGTGTCTATCACTTCAGTTCCATGTAAAGTAATGGAAAAGGTTATCAAGGAATAGATAACTAAATATCTTGAAAAATTGAGCTGCATCTCAAACAATCAACATATATTTATGTCCAAAAAGGGATGCACGTCTAACTTATTGGAAAGTGTCGACTACATTACAAAAGCGTTGAGCAAAAGAAATTTTGTCGATATTGCATTTTTGGACTTTGCAAAAGCGTTTGATAAAGTTTCTCATCGTAGACTACTACATAAATTGAAAACATATGGGATCAATGGTAATGTTGGCAAATGGATTGAGTCATTTTTGACTAGCAGAAAACAACGAACAGTTTTAGGTAATTACTCTAGCGACTGGACCGATGTATTAAGCGGAGTTCCACAAGGGTCTTGGAAATATAAATCATGAATATGTAATTTATTTATTTATTTATTTATTTTTTTTTTATTATTTATTTAATTTGCCGTTGATAAATATTACAAAAAAGAAATTATAATAAAAGAAAATCCTGGCCGGAGCAAGAAGAAGACAGGTTGTCTTATCACCGAGCCCCGTCACACAAAAATTTACATGCACAATAAATGATAAAAGACAAAAAGACAGTATAAATACAAAAACAAAAACAAATCAAAAACTTCAGCAATAAAATAATTTGTTGCTAACAATCTTCAAGCAGAATAATTTTAAAAATAAAAAAGTAAAAACGACAAAAAGTCATGAAAGTTATAAAAACACACAAAAAAATGTGTTGTTTAATAAAAAAAAAAACAAAACAAAAAAACAATATATGTAAACATAAGTATTTGGGCTGATTATTTAATATCATTAAAAATATGAACGAAAAAGACAACTTTATTTTCGTTATCTTTTATACTAATGGTTTGAAACCATTTTAATAAAAGCTAAAGAAAGTGTTAAAGATTTAATTTATTTTTAAGTGATTTAGTTTAAACCTTTAAATTGTTTTCAAAAAAGGTATTTGAAATCGAGTATATCGAATTCCATGTTCAGTAAATGCCGTTTTGAATCATCCTTAAAACTTTGCAAAGTGCAGTTTAAAACGAAGTTTTGTTTTTTACTAAAGATTGGAAGAAATTCATTTTAATGAATGATGGTAATACATCTCTTATTATAGCGGCAACGGATATTGAAAGAGACCTGGTATCTTTTTATCTAACGATCTAAAATGGAATCAACACATACAGGTTGCGACACGTAGAGCAAATATGATACTTGGCCTAAAAAAACATTTAGATCAAAAATTCCTCATGATATAACAAGTTTACCTTATGCTGAAAGGTGTCGGCGTCTCAATTTTACTTCTTTGGAAACTCGCAGGCGACGCGGCGACTTGATCCAACAGTTTAAACTTGAAAACAGTTTTGAAATTATTAATTGGCATAATCCACCTCTTCGCAGATCACCATCCAACGTACTAACGCGTGATTTCACTTACAATAATCCTCGACATAATTTCTTCACAAATCGTATTGTGAATGATTGGAATTATTTACCGTTGTCATGCAAAAAGGCTCCGTCAATTAACGCATTCAAAAGTAGAATTGACAAGTATTTTTTTCCTACAGCTGCAAACAGTGCATCTTTTACTGAAGATGAGCTGCACGTTTAATTTAATTAATTCGTGCTTTAGCAGCTACAAATATTGACTTTTTAGGTACATTTGTCATAAACGTAAACTGTTATTAAATGAAAGCAAAAAAAAAAAATAATCATAATAATAAAACAAAAAAAATAAAAAAATAATAATAATAATAAAAAAAAAAAAAAAAATAATGATAATAATAATAATAATAATAATAATAAAAATTTGTTTTTTAATCTGTTTATTGGATTGTTTTTTTTTATTTATTTGTCATGTAATCTATAAAGACTTATTTAAATATATTACTATTACTTCTGTAAACAAAAATTTGTATAAAGATTTCAGCTTTAATTGCGGTAAGTGTGGCCAATCATATTATACAATATGTTTATGTTTTGAAAAATTACCCTTCTAAATTTTCGCTGCGAAAAGCGAAATAAGATTTATAAAAAAATCAGTTTGGTGTATATTTACACTTGTAGTAGTATCATTTTTAATTAAAGAGTCAATCTACGTAATATTTTATTTGCTTTAGTTTTTCTTCGTCTACTTTTTTTACACTTTTATCGAAAAGTTGTGATTTGCAATATTAATGATCAGCTAATGCTAAAGCTGTTCTTAGTGTATATCTGTAATGTAAATGTTGTCAAACAGAAGTCTGTGTCCAAAATGTCGAATTAATTAAAAAATAATGTGTGTTTTATTCGGTTTTTCGTTTTTCAACTGTTGTTTTCGTTTTTTTACAAAGTTAAATCTCTTCTATAGTTGTTTGAGTTGGGATCAGCAGGAGATATTTTTAATTTACTATACTTTTTTTTAAATTTGGCTGATTTTGGTTTTATGTTTTAAAGTGGAATCATAGGTATAGATCCTTTTGAAGACCGTTTGTACCACTTTTGTAGTTGTTGTGTGCACGATAATTCTAAAATTTTCTCATTAGTTTCAAAATAACTTTTAATATAATAAAAGAGCTAGAATATGACAGCGCAATCCACTAGAGCCTATCAAGATAACTACAATATGCTTGTTTAGGAGTTATGTTTTCAAATAATAAAACAGCAGCCCGTATATCAGTACCATAGGATTTTTTAATTATTCTTTGGACATATATTACATTATTATCCTGCAGCGATTTCACTGTAACAATTTTCCTGCTCTGTAGCATTCTTACAGCTTTTTCCTGTAGGCCAGAATTCCCCTGCTTTTTATACAAACAATAATTTTAAAATGTTTCCTCGTTTACAAGGTACAAAGTATATCTAACGGGTTAAGAAAGCGTTTAAACGTATAATTTCATTTTGGAAACAAACATTTTCAGTAAAATACCATAATAAGTAGATTTCACAATTAATATTAAAAAAAAACCATTTACTTTTGAAAATTCATTTTTTCACTTCTCGATCAATCTATAGTTTTCGACATAATACGACTTTAAACTAATGTCACTATTTTTATTGAAAAAGATTTGAAATTTATATAAACAAAACTATCTATATACAAAAAAATACTTCACACGGTTTTGTTGTTATTTATTACGCTACCATTTTTATTTTTCCCCTTACAAACCGCGTTATATGAATTTGGCTAATGAATAAACAGTTATTATTGTAATTATTAGAAAAGACAATGTCAGCGACATTGTCTTTTCTTTTTTTTGTTTATTCCGGCACAGTATGATTATTTAATTATTTTACGATGCAAAATAAACGAGGATGGGTGGGGTGATGGTTGAGGTCATAATAAACCGAACCATTGATTATTTAAAATATATATATATATATATATATATATATATATATATATATATATATATATATATATATATATATTTATATATATATATATATATATGCATAATGATCGATAATAAAGCAATTTTAGAAAATCAGTAAAGAATCTGCTACTATATTAAGAAAATGGGGAGTGGCATAGGGTGGCAGTAGACGTTCATTTAGTCCATTTTTAAAAACAGTTGATAAAAAAAAAAAAGAAAAAAAAAAGCTACTAAAAAAATGCCACGTAACAATTTGGTAACCCCTTGTTTGACATTTAAATTAATCTTTCTCTACTGTTTCAGTATCATTTGAATGACTGAACATAAGGTTAAAATAAATTGTTGAAAATATTTATAATTAAGCTTAAAAACAATTTTGTCAGTTTAAAACTCTACGCAAAATTCAAGTATAGAAAAAATATGCTGGAGATATATACAGAAAAAAAAGAACAAGTTTTTCGTTCACAATTTTTACTGGTCTTCTTTACTTTTGATTTCGTCGCCATCGTTATCTGGTACAAAAACTGGAACATAAGCTAGCGCGTACGATATTTTGTATCCAGGAGGTGGCTGATGAATATTATCTGTATTTATTATCGGAGAAATATCTGAAGACTGTGAAAAAACAGTTTGTAAATTTGAGTTATCGCTAATAGAAGACATTGTCAACATACTTTTATGTGGTGCAATTGCAGTATACTTCTTTTTAGTCGATTGCTTTCTTTTTTCTGTCTGAGGTACACTTGTACTAAAAAGCATAGGCGTTTCTTGTTCTTCAATTCGCTTGCTTAACTTGTCTAAATCTTCATGGGTGTTCGTCATATGCTCTACTACTTTTTCAGGGGTCGGAAATGCAGAAGAACAAAACCAGCACGAGAAAGGAAAAGCACTAGGAGTCGTTAAGTGACGCTGCAGGTACTCTTTGCCGTGCATTTTCATTGTATGAACGTCTAGAGCTTTTTTCCCGCAGAACACCCTAGAACAATGGGTGCACATATTTACGCCAATGTTAAGCCCATTTCTGTATTGTGCTAAGATACTGCTATTTTCTGATATCTTTTTAGGGTCGTCTTTTGTTAATTTCTTGGAATTCGCTAAGTTTAATGGAAAACTTTTTTCTAAAAGTTCGGGTGTAATATTTATATCATTAAGAGATGATGTAGTTAGTAAAGATGTGGATGTACGCGATACCGTTAAATCAACAACTAAATGTAAAAACAAAAAAAAATCACGCTGATAAAATGTGCTATTTAATCAAAACATATATATACATAAAAGACATAAAAAAAAACTAATTTCTTACTTTTAATCATCAATCAATCAAGTAGCGTATGATGAAAAATGACAGGGGGTTGAGATGAGAGAGCGTATGATGAAAAATGACAGAGGGTTGAAATGAGAAAGCATACGATGAAAAAAACAGAGGGTTCAGAGAGAGTTTTGAAAAATGACATACGGTTGAGATGAGAGTGCAGAACATAAATTTTTAATTAATACTTATTATAAATAAAGTATTTTGCTTTTATTTAATGCAAACATTCTTTAGTATTATAATATATATATAAAATGGTATAAGAAAGTTTGGATGATAACTGAAGCAAAAGTTTGAGGACTCAAAACTGTTTTACATAAAAATCTTTATATTATCGCTAATAATAAATAATAATAATGAACTCGCTGCTGTAGTTTTAGGTCTAGATTAAAACAGATCATTTTTGAGCTTTATTATTATTAAAAAATTATGATAATCGTCGTAAACAGCATAAATTTTCATTAAGGTTATTTATGACGATATATTTATGACACCATACATCAGACGTTAATAGAAATCAGTTGCTAAAACCAATCAAATTTATACCAAAATACTAAAAAACTTAACACATTTGTGCACTTACCCAAAGTATGATGAAAAGTTATGAATTCTTCTAAATACCATAAATCTTGGCACATTATTTCAAATCTTTTTAACACAAAATTTGGAGTTTTTAAAACGCTATTTATTTAAAAATATAAATGGTTTCCCAAATGCATGATTGTTTGAAGGAATGATTATTTAAATACTGCCCTACTAAAAATCGACCTTTTATTTATTTTTAAATTTTCCAGGTTAATTTTGCTGAATATTAAAAAAAGAAACAAACTTTTTACAATTTCTAAATAAAGTTTCAAAAACAGTAATTTAAAAAAAATTAGAAGTTTAAAATAAATTAACATTTTACCTTGATCGTTTAATTGTTCAGAAGGCAAGTGATGGCGGTTCTTATTCAAAAATTCTGCGCCAACCTTTATAAGTTTATCTTTCTCAGATTGCAAGTCTTGAGTAGCAATATGAATATCTTTATAATGATCATGCGTCGCAACGTGTATATCAAAAGATTCTTTGTTAAAAAATGTCTTATGGCAAATCGGACATTTAATGTCACACTGACTTATTTGTAAAGATTTTAAATCATTACTTTTTTCAGAACTCATGTTTTTTATTTCAACAAGCTCAACCCTTCGGCTTAAATTGTCTAGGTTATCATGCTGGCTAGTCATATGAACAACGACTTCTTCAGCGCTATTAAATGTCAACGTACAAAACCAGCATCTAAAAGGAACAATTTGTTCTGCTTGACACTTTTTTGAATGTGATTGAATTTCTGATTGTTTAAAAGATTGAAAGCAGACACCACAGTATTCCAGTTTTCCATTTTGTAAATGCTTTGAAATCTTTTTTTTGTTTTGTTTTTTCGTATTTGTTTCTATATTTGAAAATTCATATAGTGGTTCGTTATCAGAATATACACAGCTATTTTTGTCATTACTAGAAGATTTGATTGATTCAACAATTTGATCCTCTTGAATGAGCTGTGGATCGCTAAAAATTTGAGCTTTCATAATTAAAGAAGTTTCACCAAGATTTTCCAAAATTGGTGGCTGTTTATGATTTCTAACATCCTGGTTATCATAGACAACACGATTTGACGCTTCACATTCAGATACATCTATAACATTTCCGGCAGAATCTTTTCCACCAATATTTCCATCAATGTTTATTCCAGAATCAGATAATTGACTCAAAGAATCATTAGAATATTCAGCTATAGAGCAATCGCTAGGCAATTTCAAATTATCTTGTGATGAAATAGGAGATCGCGTAGACTGATGTAAGATCAAATGGGAATTGTATTCTGTCTCTGATTTAAAACTTACAGGGCAATGTTGACATGTCCATAATCCGGAGGAAGTGACTGTATTTTCACCTGTTTCCGACATTTCAACACGCTTACTAAGGCTTTCTAGGCTATCATGCTCGCTGGTCATGTGAGAAACAACGTCTTCAGGAGTCTCAAAAACTACTGAGCAGTACCAGCACTGAAATTGAAGCAGAGATCCTACAGAGGAATCAGCTTCTATGACTGTTGTTAAATGATCTTTAATAATATGTTCATCTAAAGTTGAACGAAGATGAAAATATGAAAAACAACTTGGACATTTATAAGCTGGGCTAATATTTTTTCTGGAGGTTTTTGAAGCACTTACTTCATCACTAAATCCAGAATGCTCAGCAAGAACATGAGAACGAAGTAAACGGTAATCAACAAAATGAGAAGAACAATACTTGCAAAAATTTAGTTTTTGCAACCCATGACGTAACCGTATTTCTTTTCGCTCTAATGGTTTTAGCTCACGATGGTAATGTACATCTGAAAGGTGTTCAATAAGTTTACGAACGGACTTCACTTCTTCATTACACTCCAAACATCTTATAGGTGGTCGTACTGAATTTTTAATCGAAAAAACTGAACAAGTCGGCAGCTTCATTTCATCATTTGATTTATTTGAAGTACAATCTGGTTTAAGGGAAGATGCAATAGCTTTTGCCTGCATATCTGATAAGTTTAATTCACGATGGCGAATTAAATGTTTTCGAATATTACGTCCTGCAAATATTTTTTTTTTACAAATAGGACAAGATACAAGTCGATCTGATCTATTTTCGTGTGTTTTTAAATGACGTCTTAAATGTTCAGGCATTGCATAAGATCGACCACATGTTTCACAAATATGAGGACGCACACCTGTATGTCTTTTTTCATGTGCTAGTCGAGTTGAATTCAATCTGAAGCCCTTGGTACATACTTGACACCTACATTTTGGAAAAAACTAAACACATTTTAAACATGATACTATACTTTTAGCAAACTGTAATGATGATAATGGCTGGCAATGGAAACTCCAATCATGACATTATGGATTATGTGTAAAGTATTTATAAATAATTTACACATAATCCTTTCTTTGAGATAAAATACTATTCAAAAAACAAATACTGAAAAGAGAAAGCAGCCATTACAAATTTACAAATCCAACTCTAGGGGACCATCTAAAAAAGAAAGCCAAATAATGGTATGTTAGGCACCATTATAGGAACTTTTAAACTGTTATTCAAAAGGTATCATGAATAGACTTTCAATTACTATCAATGGCAGTTTTAGAGTTGGTATTTGTTATTAAACTGGTATCGAATTTACTTATCTTTTTTAATTTTATTTTAAATAAAAGATGTTTACTATGTTTAATTTGATTTTTAAATAAAAAAACGTTCAACTATTTTTAAATTTCTACATTTTGCCACAGGGTTAGAACATGGCCTACTTAAAGTATACGGCCTAATATTTACATTTTTGCTGAAAAAATAGAAGGCCAGTTTTTTTGCAGTTTTGAATGAAAGTGTTATACGACATAAAGTGTTAAACTTTTGTTAGTAGAACAAAGAATATTGAAAGTTGTCTTGTTGGCTATTTATTAAACGATTTAAAACAAGATATAGTGACAGTATTTTCATTTAATGTCAATGAAGAATAACAAACTTTAAAAAGTTACAAAAAGTTTTGTCAATATCAATGACTACTTACGAACTTATTGTAAGTATACTAAATTGTATGCCAACTAGCTCATCTGTTATATGTGCAAAACATTTTCAAGCAAAAAATACTTTAAAGCAAGGAGAGCAGCTTAAAAGATCTTTCTTAATAAAGCAATTAAACTGGCTAAACGATCCTGCCTAATAAAACAAGAATAACATGTTAAAAGATCCTGTATAGTAAAAGATTATAAACAATATCCATTCTACATCCAAGTGTAATGGAATAAAATAACTATTGCAAATAATTCTGTATTAATGAGATTCCTGTAATCGCCATCTGATCATTTCTGTTTCAGAATGTTTAACATTGTAAATACTAAAAAAATATTGATCACACAATTCTAAATCCATTGCTGGTATGGTATGTAGTTACCAAATGTTAAAACTTAATTATAATGTTGTATTTTACAAGTTATTGCTTATACCAAAAGAATTGAGTTTCTTAAAACCACATATTGAGTTATTTAATACCACAAGTTATTGCTTACATACCATAGGTTATTGAGATTATTAAACAAACTGCAGAGAGCTTATATGAAATAATTTTACAAGAGTTGTCTATTATCTTAACAAAGTGTTTTTTTATAGTCATAAAAATTCCCTGCATATGTATGTTTGAACACTTTACTACTTACGTACAAAAACATGCAAAATCTTGATCCACAAAGAATAATTCTTTTTTTTTAATTTGTTTTGATTTTTGAAGAACTTAAAAAAGAACTAAGAAATAAAACATACATTATATCACCATCTAAAATTTATTTAAAGAAATGTATATACAGAAATATACAGAATACTCTGGTGAAACAGGTCTGTACTTTTCGAAAATGGTATAAGATACAAAGTTTTTAAGAACATTCATAATATAATAAGAACATTCTGTACATATTAAAAACTGCCTCACTTATAGTAATTGATTAAGAAATGCAACCATTGAACCTTTGACTATTTTTTCAACAGTGCTTTTGGTGTGCAACCTTAGTGTGCAATAATCATGCAAGTAATTTTTAAAGGTTAAACTGTAATTTTTAAAGGTTAAAATTAAATCGATTTAATATAATGCTATCAAAAGATAAAAATGGCTCAAAAAAAGTTTATTTTATGGAGATGTGATTTTACTTTAAAATGTGATAAACTATTCAGACTTCCACCATTTGAGTATACTAAGTTCAAAGATGATGTGACAGTTAAATAGGAAATTATTTTAACAGCAGATTTATATAAAACCTCAAAACTTACAAATAAAGTGTTAAATCCAAAAAAATTTAAACAAAATGATAAAGGCCTAAACTTTAAATAGCTATGGCATTGTGGATAAAAATCTAATACAAATCTTCCTACTCAGTTGCAGTAGTTAATAGTTCTCTTTTTAATTAAAGATCTTTTAATGTCCGATTATAACTGAGTTCAGTATGTTCGGACAGCATCAGTAGATGAGTGGCATTAACATTTGGTTACTTAAAATTTTGTGCTTCGAGTAAGTTACTAAAATTGAAAGTTTATTTAAAGAATGGTGATATCAAATAAATTAACAATTAAAAATATTGTTCAACAATGTTTTTACAGTCATCCTTATTGATGATATTTCTGTCAGAAATAGTAGAAAAGGCATCATATCGCAGGTTATATAGCTAAAAGTTTAAAAATGGTTTAGTAAATGTTAACAGATAAACAATATATTGACAATTTATGTTTGTGAATCATTTTCAATTTTATATTTTACTTATAATGTTATTATCAATGTTTAGTTGTCATTCTGAACAACTGCTTAGTTTGTTTTAAATTAATTTTGCTTTATAAAAACTTACTTTTTTCTGAGCATCTGGTACTGAGAACTTATCTCTAACAAAACAGTAATATATTACAGTAATATATTTTATACATAACTAATATATTTTTTATTAGAGATTTTCTTTTTTTAGAGATAATATAAATATAAAGTTAACATAAGATGTTCTGATAAATGTGGAATAACAAAATATATAAATAATATTACATTCTTTAGGCAAAGTCAATTTTAATTAAATAAAAATTTGTTTCTATTGAAAAAAAAAAGTAATTTCTGTTAGAAAATAATTTATTTCTTGCTGAATAAAAAGTAGTTGCAAAAATAAAAATGTTTCTTAATTGTTTGTTTGCTTTGATTTTATAGCGTTTTTATTTTTTTAATGGCCTTCAATTTTTCTGGCAAAAATGTAGAATATTAGGCTGTATACTTTGAGTAGGCCATGGTTAGAATAGAAAATTACTAATCCGGTGATAATAAAAATAATACAGTTTTCAAAATTACTTTAGCAGGTAAATTTGGGTTAAACTGCCATCCTTGGGATGGCAGTTTAACCCAAATTTACCTTTCAAGTAACACACATACTCCTTTAGATTACATATTATTCAGAAGATATAAGTATATAATTTTTTGTATCCTATTGAGGACCCAATCTACCTAAGAAAAATTTAGAACACAATGACTTACAAAAAAGGCTTTTCACCAGTATGTAGTCTTTCATGTGCTGTTAGCTGACCTGCTTGTGCGTAACTTTTTGTACAAAATCGACATTTATAAGCTTTCATCCCAGTATGCTTTGCCATGTGGGATTCCAGTGAAGAATGTGAAGTAAAGCGTTGGGGACAAAACGGACATTTATGCTTGTGAATACCTGAAAAATAACTCGATAACTTTCATTGTAGTCAAACTTTTGTGTTGGAAACAATACAACAAAATCTGCATAAAAAATATCAAACCTATATGTTTATCAATATGAAGCTTTAGATTTCCTTTAGTAGCAAAACTTTTTCCGCAAATGCGACACTTATGATTCTTTTCACCTGAAAATGAAGAAACGCAACAAACGTAATAAACAATTAGAATAAATCAACTAATAGAGCTTACTTGATGATTTTTGAACCTGTATGTCGCCATAAGTGTCCTCTGAGTTCAGCTCTAGTGGCAAAAGATTTTGGACAATAGTTACACTTAAAAGATTTATTTGTCATGTGTGTTTCTTCACGATGCTTTCTTAACTCCAAGTGATGTGAGAACGACTGATTGCAATGTGCACATACATACGGGTTGATTTCGGTGTGAATACGACGATGTCGCAGAAATTTTGCTTTAGACACAAAAGGTAAGTGACAATACTCACATACAAACTGTCCTGAAAAATCAATATTGGAACTCATTGATCTTTGGTAAATACACTCACACAAAAGTTATTTAAAAAGAAATCTTTTTTTTTTTAAAATTTTAATTCATTAAAATAAAATTTAGTACATACCTATTTTCTTCTCGTTACTGTTAACAAAAGAAGTATTGCTCTGCTGGGAACCAGATACAAAGGTACTTTTGAGTGAAGATACAGAGTTTGCATGCAAAAAACTACGTGAGTTTTCTAAAATAATTTTTTTTTTCTACAACAAAAGAAAATAAATGATTTAAAAAAACAAAAAGAATGTCTCAATAAAACAACACCAATAAATTGTCAGTTTATCAATAAAGAAATTATTTCATCAGTGAATTTAACTGAAATAGAGAGAGAAATGATAGCATCAGTAAATTTAACTGAAATTGAGAGTAAAATTATTGCATTAGTGAATATTGAACAGGTATGTGTGCAATCATGTTTTTGAGGTCTCAAAATCTCATCAACTGAAACTTTTTTTTTAAACCACATTTACAAACTTTTATATAACTTAGTTTTAACAATATAACTTAAATTGTCAGAACTCAACTAGAAAATTGACTTAAACGACAGATTTCACCTTTTTTTTCTTTATTCAAAAAAACTTAAAATGTAATTTATTTTAGCAAATCTTTCTTTAAAAAATAACATAACGTTATAAGTTTCCAATTCCAAAACAAAAAATTATTTGAATAAAGCAAAAATTAATGCAGTTAAAAGATTATAGCAAAAGCAGTGGATGGATAAAGTAAACAAACACATTTATAACAATTAAGTAGGAAATACACAGATGCATACTTAACTTCTTTTTGCTACATTTTTATTTATTTTGTACAGTGCTTAGGTTGTCATAACAAAAATGCAAAAGAAAATAATAAAAAGAAAACCATAAAACATTTTCATGACAACTTAGATAAGTAACTTTATTAAAATTTCAATTACTTCCTTTTGGCACTTCTAACACCCTATAAAAGGCAAACTTAACTTTGTCTAAAAAGACCAAAAAAATCTATTTATGTAAGCATTAGTTATTATGTAGACATTATAAATACATTTAAAATAGTTTTTAAAATCTTTTTATTTTGTCGAAGCCAAGTTTTTATAATTTAAGCAATCCCCTTCCCAAATGAGAAGTTTTATATGGTCACTACTTTAAAATGCTAAAACGTTTTTTGATGAAATTTCAATTCTATCAATAAATTTTTATATAGCGTAAAAAAAAATTCTTTGAAAATAATATTTTTTATTTAATTTGATCAATAACAGATGTTACATTTAGTTAAAAGGGCTATTTTAGATAATCTTTTGCAAAGCCAAAAATATCTTCAGAAATGAGAGTAATATCTTATATCTGAAGATATTTTTTATGCTACATTATACATTATATACATTACGTTTTTGCAACTAAATATGTTAATTTTTTTAAAGTCAAGTTAAAAGCAATCACAACTTTTAGTAGTAGAGGAAACCACATATTCCAATTGTGATTCAGTGTATAAAAACAACTGCAAACATGTTATGAGAACAGACTGATTTGGGTCAAAATAAAGTAATAAGAAATAGAAAAATAACTTTAATTTTTGTGAATGTTACATGAAGTATAGCTTAACATTTGTTTTTTTCCTTTATCTCTTAAAAAACATAAAAACTCTATTTCATCTTTTTATTTTGTACTTATTTTTTGTCTTCTTTGCTTTATTTTATGGTATTAGATTTTTTTTTAAATTATATCGAATTAAATTGTTTATTAGATAAGTAATTAATGATATTTATGTAATGTTTATTAAAATAGTCAAAAATATCAATCTTCAGAAATGAGAGTAATATCTTATATCTGAAGATATTTTTTTATCAAAGTAAAGTTAATAAGAAATAGAAAAATAACTTTAATTTTTGTGAATGTCACTTGAAATATGATATTTATGTAATGTTTATTAAAACAGTCTAATATATCAATCTGATGATACTTTTTTTATATCTGTTAAAATAGTATCTGATGATATTTTTGTTGTTTATTAAATTAGTAATTGATGATACTTATGTAATATTTATGAAATTAGTAATTAATGATATTTATTTTATGTTTATTAAGTTAGTAACTAATGATATTTTTGTTATGTTTATTAAATTAGTAATAGAGAAATGACAGGAAAACTTTATCATTATACTTTTACATTATATTTCATACTTTATTTTGAAAACTTGGAATAAGTGGGGAGAGAGTGGGTGAAGCCTGCTGTTGCAATCTCTGTTTTTAAAAAGATATTTTTTGTTCATTTTGTTACATTTATTATATTTTTTTATAATTGTAAATAAATTTTGTTGTAACTATACTTTTAGTTTAGTAATAGCTACTCCTTATTTAAGTATCACAATTATTTTTAATCAAAATAACTGTTCTTCATTGACAAATAAATGGGGAATCTGAATAAATAGAATGGTATAAAGTATTTCTAAAATTTGTAAAACAGGTTTTTTTATTTTATAAAATTTCATGTAAATACAATTAATTTATGTGCAAAATTATTGTTTAATTCACTACAAATCTTTTTATGTGAATATTTTTTCAACTATTTACATGAAAATTAAGCAGGGGAAAGAGTCCAAAAAAGAGTCAAAAATCAAAAGGTGTTTAACCACAGTCTATCATTAAAGATCTTATATCAAAAGGTGTTTAACCGCAGTCTATTATTAAAGATTTTATATCAATAGGTGTTTAACCACAGTCTATCATTAAAGATTTTATATTAAAAGTTATAAAATATTAATCACTAACTCAAAGGCAAGATAAGGTTTTTTTATTTTAAACCATTTTTTATTTTAAACCACCTAAATTTCATATGGCATATCAGAAAAAATTTAAAAAAAAAAAAAGTATATTTCATAGATGAGTATTTGACTTAATGAAAATCCAGGAAATTTTTTTATATAAAAATTGCGGAAAATTATTTTATTAAAAATTGATCATATTAACTGAAATAAAACAAAAACTTTTAAACTTGTAAACTTTCAAAACGGAATTTAGATTATTAACTTTTTACAAAAATGAATTTTTTAATATTCGAAAAAGTTAATTTGAACGAATTAAAAAGCAAAAAAAAAAATTGTTACGAAAATTGATCTCGTGAAAATTTTAATTATAGAAAACATATTTGTTTAAATGTAAAAGTTGTTGTATTTAAAATTTTATGTTTTCCGGAATTCCGGAAACTCCTGGCAAAAAGTCATCTATGATATTTACTACCCAACCATAGCATTATAGTTAGTCACAATGGACAATCTTTTTAAAAGTATCTGTTAACTTTAAGGACACCACAATGTTCCATCTTATGTACAATATTGATTCTTATCTACATTTTCAATTTTCATTTAAACCTTACCAATAAATTAGCTTTATTAAATGATGACCTATCTATATTCTAATCTTGATTGAAAGCAACCACTATTTAATCATTAAGAACATTAACTAATCTTGAATATGACCTTCTATGAATCCTCCCCGCACAAGGTTCAAAGGTCAAACTTCAACTCAAATAAAATCCATTTTAATTTACTTTCAAAAAAAATTCTGCAATCATAAAAATCATACTTTATGCAACAAAGTATTCTGCAAATTATTCATATTTTATGCAACAAAGTATTCTGCAAAAATTATGTTTTAAGAGTGAACTTTTTTCAAAATTTGTTTTATGATGCACCTATAAGTATTGATTTTGTAGAATAAATTTCAATTTGATTTAAAATATCAAAAACCATCATATCAATATCAAACCATCATATCAACCATCAACCAAATATCAAAAATTATAAAAAACGTTAACCTCAAAACTGTTACTGCTCCAACAGATATAAAAAGAAAATATAAAAAAATTCATCAAGATTATTGATTAAATGCTGAACATATAATTTTGACAATCGATTATTGGATGTGCTACATAATGTAATGAACAATCTATTAAAAAAAAAAATAGCTTTAAAAATCAATGAACAACAGAAAACCAATACTAACTGTAGCATAATGTTAAGTTCATGTAAAAGCATACACACACAAAAAAAATTTTAATTAAAAAAGAATTTAAAATTTGTGTTCTTGCTGCATTTGAGTAGTTAAACACTACTAGACAAAAGTTTTTTTTTTTTTTTAATGTTTTTAAAAAAACACTTTACATGAATGTCTTAATAAAGACAGAATCTAAAAAAATTGCTTATAAATTGCTGCATATTTTAAGGCAATTAAAAATAAAACCTTGGACTATAATTTCATATTCATCTCTGTCAAGAACACGCTCATCAGATAAGATGACAGAAGCCACTTCCCCAAGGTCAGATGAGCGACTTTTAACGCCTTGCAAAGTTCCACAAAACTTTCCATCAGACGAGTAAATTAGTTTCAACAGCCCAAGAGTGACACCATGCTCAACAGTCAAAACAATTTGATTATTTCGATACAAACTAATCTAAAAATATTAAAAAAGAAGAAATAAAGCTAAAACAATAAAAAATTATAAAACTTCAAATAAAATTAAAAGTGTAAAAATTGTGCTGGAAATGCTTAATACAAAAAACAAAATATACCTCTCGCCTTCTCGACCCATCAAGTTCAAGATCTGCACCAAGAAAAGCTGAATTATATGGTTCATCAGACTTACTTAACAAATCATCACTTTCTTTTAACATATTATATTTTATTACTTGAAATCAACATTTTTTTAGCTGTCTAGAAGAAATAATAACAAAACTGAATTGTTTAGCTAATTAATAATTTTAACAAAAACTTAAAAAAGACCTTTCTTTATTTTAATAGACTGTTTGCCCAAACCCTTTAAACGAATTTAAATTAGTCTAATGCTATTTTTATTTTTTCCAACGACAATTCAAAATGGGTTTTTAAACCTTGTCTAAAAATGAAAAAGCATCATTAGAAGAACCAAATATTAGAAAAGTTCATACTTTTTTAAAAAAAGGATTAGGAGTAAGAAAATGGCAAGCATGATGTAAAGAGGCAACCATATATATATATATATATATATATATATATATATATATATATATATATATATATATATATATATATATATATATATATATATATATATATATATATATATATATATATATATATATATATATATATATATATATATATATATATATCCTTATAGTGTAGTCAAAAGAGACTTATATGGTAAAAAAAAGTCTCTTTCGACTAAAATTTTTTTACCTTGTCTCTTAAGCTGCATTTTACTGTCGTCGAAATGTCAAAGCAATTAATGCGGAAGTACATTAAATTTTATTGTTTTTTAAAAAAACCGCAATAATAATGACTAGAAAATTTTTTTTAATTAGTGGTGTTTTTGTCTTTGTTTTATTAAAAACATTTTTAAAACATGCGTAAGTGTTGCTACATCAACTATCTTATAGCCTGCTGCTATAAGGGAGTGTTGCTACATCGACTATCTTATAGCCTGACTCACAACGGAGTGCTGCTACATCGACTGACAAATAGCCTGACTCGCAAGGGAGTGCTGCTACATCGACTGACAAATAGCCTGACTTGCAAGACTGAGGGTTTGGTTTGGGCAGGCAGTCTATCATTTAAAAAAAAAAATTTTTTTTGAAGTTTTTTAACATTTTCTGGTCAGGCTTATTAACGCACTCTTTAAAACAACAGTTTATGGGAAAAACTTTGTGACTACCATGCAAGACTATATATATATATATATATATATATATATATATATATATATATATATATATATATATATATATATATATATATATATATATATATATATATATATATATATATATATATATATATATATATATATATATATATATTTATATATATATATAAATTTAATTGAGGAAACTAATTAAACTTATTGTTTTTTTAAAAAAAACACAAAAACACAAATTAATAGACTAGAATGTTTTTAAAAACATACTGAATGTTTTTATTTTCTGATCTTTAAAACAGTTTTTAAAAAAAAAAAAAATTGTTTTAAAGATCAGAAAATTAAAAACACCCAAGTAATGTATATATATATATATATATATATATATATATATATATATATATATATATATATATATATATATATATATATATATATATATATATATATATATATATATATATATATATATATATATATATATATATATATATATATATATATATATATATATATATATATATATATATGTATATATATATATATATGTGTATATATATATATATATATATATATATATATATATATACACACACACACACAAATACTAGTAAATAAACTTTAATTCAAGCAAAATTAAAAAAAAGAAAAAAAGTGTACAAACATTTATATCATTTTTAAAAATATACATGAAAAACTCTTTTAAAAAATATTCAAAAGCTCAAAATATCAAATAACATATGTTGAATATAAAACATTCAAGAAAAACTATAAATAGCATAAATAACTTTCAAAATACATTCTTACCAAATAAAAAACACAACTATTAACATTAAATAAAAAACTTTTATAAAAAAAAAATAATTATTAAAGTAAAAATACTTATAATGAAAAACTTTTCTTAAGAATTTCTTTTGAGAAATTAAATAACAAATAAATATCTAATAATAATAAAGTCAAATGTTAACAATATTAGTAAACTAAACATTTTTATCAATTAATGTCCTTTTAAAATTCCACACAGATTTATTAAGAGAATCACTCAGTAAAATATAAGGATCAATTTTATCTTTGACCCATTCATCAATGGAATGCTCATAGAAGTATGGTGCCATAGTTTTAAAACATTTATTACGAAAGGTTTCAAATGATGGAATTAATCTTAAAAAAAGTAAAAAAGACAATTAAAAAAATTTAAAAAGTTGAAAAAATCATAAAGTAAAATCATAAATTTGTTAAATGTATTAAATCAATGTCTTCTAAACAATAATCTATTGATTAAAAAAATTGCTTCAATTAAAAAAACTGTTTCGATTAAAAAAATTGTTTCAAATAAAAAAATTGCTTCAATTAAAAAAATTGCTTAGAATAAAAAAATTGGATCAATTTTCATCAACTATCTGATGTTTCTGAAAAAAAAAACCACTTACAGTAGCAAAAGAAACTCACTTACAGTAGCGAAAGAAACCCACTTACAGCAACAAAAGAAACCCACATATAGCAGCAAAAAACTTGAAAATTTCAAATAACTACAAAAATATTTTTATAAGCGCAGGTATGACTGAGGCAAGATAGTATCTTTCAAAATAAATGGCAAACTCCTACAATGAATTATTTCCATTTTAGTTAGCAGAAAGCAAAACAGCTCTGTTACCAGCTCTGTTAGGGTTACAAAACAGCTCTGTTACCAGCTCTGTTAGGATTGATACTCCTCTTTATTCTCTACGCAAACACTGTATTATTCATTACGGTCAATCCAACCCTCATTAGATTTACTTTTTGGTAATTAAGGTATAAATCAATGCCTAAGAAGCATGACTAAAGTGCATGATTTGAGAGTCATTTTTACATCTAACCTCATGTAGAGCACACAGAATTCTGGTTGTGGAAAAAATTTTGAACAAATATTTAGGGGCTGTCTATAAAGTACATAAATGCTTTTAGAGGGAGAAGGGGGTCTTTAAATAGCGTACAAAAGCTTATGGAGGAGGAGGGGAGAGGGTTATAAAAGTACATACACACCAAAAAAAAAATTCTTCAGTAATGTTTGTTCTCTAATTTATCAAAATTAACAAGTACTTGTTAATAACTAAATGTTTTTGAATTAATAAAACAAAATAAATAAAAAGATAACTTGAAAAAATTAAAATAAAACCATACTGCCTTATTATTGTCCCTAATTTGCCAGGTAATCAATAGAAAAGTTAATTTTCTGACTAAAAATTCTACTTTGCCACCATAAAAAGATGTATAGAATAGGGGAGGGGTACAGTGTCCCACTATGCACACATATGCCATCCCTTATACACCGGCTCTGAGACAGACATGTATTTCAGGCAACCCTTTTTTTGAGTCAACAAAAAATAGGTTTTAAGCTTCGTTTTCAATATTACTCATCTTGCGTAAGATTCATTTTTTTAGAGACTTACTAAAGTGGAGTCCCTGAAAAAAACATTTGCCCTTTGATTTGCCATTCAAACAAATTTTAAAAAATAAATAAAAATTAAAATAAAACTTGAATGCGTTTCGACACAAGCCTTTAATGTGGAACTGCTTGCATTAACCTCTCGACCAAACGAGCTTACGTAAATTAACTTTATATATATATATATATATATATATATATATATATATATATATATATATATATATATATATATATATATATATATATATATATATATATATATATATATATATATATATTAGGGCTATGACTTTTTAGTGACCCCATATGTTCCTGGATCATAAATTGATGAATATTTGTAATAAAGTTATGATAAAAAAACAACATTAATTCGATTTACTATCATAAACTCTAAACTACAAATTTAAAATTACAAACTTAAATATAATAATTATACAAGTACAAAAAACTATTGTATATATAGAAAAATTTTTGTGTAGTATTCAGCCTAATTAAAGAGTAATATACAATTCTTATGCTTTGTTAGGCTAAATAAATCTAAGCTGGAGGTTCTTTTTCTTTTTACAGATGTCAAAAATATTTTGAAGACACTTGATTACTCGTTCTGCACACTGATTTGTTCAGAGAATTTCCTGTCTTGATGGTTCTGGTTCTTAACTTTTTTCACTGAGTTTAACATCATCTGCATTGTACATTTGGTCAGTAAACTAATGGTCTGCCCATCTGTAAGAGATAAATCGACAAATGTCAGTAGTGAGTTTCTTCTCTTTGGTAAAAGAATAAATTACAAAAAGCTAGCACTATCAAGAAATCCATCTTGCATAATTTAATTTAGGTATTTTCCAAAACCTCACTTAAAGAAATATTCCAGATTCTTAAAAAAAGTGAAACAACAGCTGCAGTAATCACTTCTTTACCATTCTTAAAATTCTTTCTGAGCTGTTCGTAATTCTTTACAAGTTCCGGGATAGACAAAACATGTTGACAACCAATAAATTGTGGTTTTTCCAGTTTCTTTCCAGTAAAATGTCTTTGTAACTGACTGACAATCCTTCTTCCAGTGTTTACATTCATATTGTCCATTACAATCAACTTTATAGTCTTCTTACATAAATTGTATTCTTTGAGAATAGCTGTTTTACTTTTAACAACAGAATCTACTTTTCCGCCTAGTAGATCTAGTGTTTCTAACCTTACTTCTCTTTGTTTATTATTCAATACTAAGACTTGATTTGAAAGGCATTAATAATAAATATAAGTGCTATTGTACTTCTATATCATTTGACTGCCATCTGGCGAATACAGATTCATATATAATTATTACCATTACTTAATCAAGCAGCTTATAGTCTAAATCTTGCTAACTTGCATAAACTTCTAGAAGACTCCAGAAAATTTTGGACTGTTCTGAACATTCCAAAATTTTCTGAATGGAAACCTTCAGAACAGTCCAAAAAATTTTAGACAGTTCCATAAGATTCAAAAAAATTTAAGGCTTCAGAAAGTCATAATGTTACTGCCTGCAAATACTACTTATATACCAATTTAAAAAATTTATGATTTTGGTATTTGTTAAAAATTAATCAGAATAATACCCATTTTCATTACTTTGGAGCAAAAGTTCATCAATTTAGATCAAATTTCTAAATTTTTGGTGTACGTACTTATGGATGACCCCTTATAAAACTGATTCTTTATATTAGGGTGTTTTTTCTTTTCAATGTATGTATACATTATATGTATACATAATGGCTGCAACTATAATAATAATAAAAGTAACAATAATAATAATGCTGATAATAATAATAATAATAATAATAATAATAATAATAATAATAATTCATAAAATAAAGACTATTGAAAAAAAAAAAGAAAAAAGATTACTTAAAAAAAGTAAAAAATTAAAAAAGACTAAATAAAAAGAGTAAAAAAGTAATACTATTTAAAAAACTATTAATGTAAATATAATTAATTATAAGTTTATTATTTATTTTACAACATTTTTAACCTTTCAAATAATAACTTACTGTTTTAAAGAGTTAGCTACTGCATTTAACTGAAAAACACTAACAAATCCATTATGCTTTTGACGGTCATTCCCCCAGCTATCCAACCTTTAACAAAAAAATTTTTAAAAATTATTAACAGCATACTATTACTAAAGTTTACACAGCAAGATACTTGCTGTGAAGAATAACATAATTGTAAAAATAAGATTTTCTTAAACTGTTATATCTAGAGATGTGAATCTTTTTTTTTTTCTTGTTTTTTTGCAAAAAAACAATTTTTTCAGCTAATTAAACCAACTACTTGGTTTTTTGTTTGTTTTTTTTAAAAAAAACTACTCACTTATTTTAAACACTGAAATAATTTTAAAAATTTGTTTTTAGGTGATATTATATATATACATATATATATATATATATATATATATATATATATATATATATATATATATATATATATATATATATATATATATATATATATATATATATATATATATATATATATATATATATATATATATATATATATATCAAATAGAAGAATATAAATTCACCTAAAATATAAAAAATTTGTTTTTAGGTGAGTTTTCTTTCTTCTATTTAATATATCATTTTGATAGTATTGTCTTTAAAGTTCTTAAGGTAGCAGGATCCCCAAAATATCAAAAAAATTTCCCAAATTTTTTTATAGCCAATTATAATAAAAAACTTAACAGAGGTGATAATATGAAAACTGTTCTTTTAATATAATTTAGTTTTTTAAATAACTATGTTTTAGTGCACCATAGTTTTTTAGGCTTTCCAAGCTACTTTTAAGGTAACTTGGAAAGCAACAAAATAGCAACAGATTTGTTTGTTGGTTATTTAAATCAGTTTAAGTCAGGAGGAAAGGAGAAGTTTTTTTAAAAACATTTTTTTTTCGGCGGAAATTTAAGTCTTAAAAATATCTTTTTTGCAATTTTAAAACCTTAAGATAAGTTTCAGAGCTTGAAGTTTACTAAGTAATATCACATTTATTTACTATACTTGTATGCTTGCTTAAAAATTATTTTTATTACAAATTTGTATGAATCTTTTATACAAAAAAAAAAAAAATGACTTGTAGCATGATTAGAAAACATAAATATAAGTTCAAAGACAATTAGTACAGATGTAATGAAAAATAAAACTACACCTTTATCACCAATTGCTAGTTTTTAAAGTGCAAAAAAGTTGTTTTCAATAATAACTACCTCAAATGTTGGTAGTAAAAATAAAGATAAAGAAAACAATTATAGCTTTATTATGAACTTTGTTTTATTTAAAACAATGTTAAATTAAAATTTTTGTTCCGAATGTGGAAAAAACTTTCCAAGATAACAAAAAGTGTTATTCAAGTGTTGAAGTATCAAACACACTTTTAGATAAAGAATTCAATAAAATATCAAGCGATGTTAAAGAATTTATAGCAACAGGAGATTCTGTAGGATTTATGTGTGATGAATGGAGTAATGAAATGTGTGACGGATGGAGTAATGTTATGTGTGATAGATGGTTATATGTGATGGATGTGTGATGGATGGTTTTCTGTGATGGATGATTTTGCGTGATGGATGGTTATGTGTAATAGAGTAATGTTAAATGTGATGGATGGAGTAATGTTAGGTGAGCATTAGAAAATATACAAATAATTTAAAAATTAAAACTTTAACATTTTTACATTGTAAAGAAAATTAATTATTGAAATTTGTTTGTTCATTTAATAACAAGATGTTTCCAAGTATATTCTTAAACTGCTAAAATTGTCTATAGATTTCCACAAACGTTTTTATATAACTTTCTATTACATTCTCGCAAATGTTTAATAACTCTCTAGAACGTTCTTGGAATCATTGTTTTTGCACCCAGCAGAAGCATTTTACAAATTGTTAGGACAAAAGTATTCTGTGAAAGAATGTTGTGATACATGAAATACCCACAAAGCATACTTCAACATGGTTGTGAAAGCATTAAGAAAAGTGCTAGGCCTTTCATCACACATGTAAATAGGTGAAATGAGGTGCTTTAGAACAAAAAGGTGCTTGATATAGAAGTGCTTTTGTGATGAGGGGGAGGGGGAGTATAGAAGTGCTTGATGTTTTAAAATTTTAATGACTTAGATCGTATTTAAGAAGTAATAAACAAAATTTTCACATCAATGCACTATAGTATAATATGTTCAACATTAATATCCAGTATTAAAAAATTTGTAAAATTTCCTGCTTTTCAATTTTTATAATTAATATCTGCTGTTACAGATTAGTGTAAAAAAATTAGGAGAAAAGTGTGGATATCATGAAGTCATATAATGAAGTTTGCTATCTTGCAAATTTAGCATCAAATGATTAACCACTTGAGTAACTTCTACATCTGCATGATAGATCCTGAAAAACATTACACTGGCAACAATTGATAAATGTCATGGTAAATTTATCAAACCATTTACCCAGACATTCGTTTTTTCATTGTCTTAGTATCACAATGCCTCAAGCAGCCTCTTCTGCTAGAAGGATCAACTACTTTTAGAAGAAAGCAATATATCACATACCAAGAAAGATATTGTAGATTCAAATTACAACTTTACAGGACATGAAAGGACAGTAGACTGTACTTTCACAAGCAGAAAGGTGTCATTCATCTGATTAAAGATCTCGGTCTTACCGAGATCTTTAATCAGAGTTTCAATCAGTTTAACTTGTAGAATGACACCATCAGAAGAACCATCAATTTGCTACTTCTTTAGTTATCAAAATGGGCAGCAGCCAGTCTATTTGAAGCTATAGATACTACAACCCAAATAAATAACACCATAGATGGTTCATCCAGTTAGTCTATTCGAAGCTATAGATACCTATAACCCAAGTAAATAAAACCTACTTATAGACAGTTCATCCAGGAGTCTCAAAGCTGTGTTGCTTCACTCTGAAAATATTGTGAACCAACACAAATGAGTTTTTAACTCTACTAATCCACATTTTGGAAAATACACATATTTTACAATTTAAAAAAAAACATATATTAAAATGAATTTCTTTATTATGATTAAATTATATTATAAAAAAATACTTTTTTATTTATCACATTTAGTGCATTTGAAATTAATTTAAAAACAAAAAATTTTTAAATTCATATTAACTCAACAATAAAATTTAGGTAGTTTTGTAGTAGGTATATTAAATATTGGCAATAAAAGTTGTGGTGCTAAGTAAAGATTAAACATTTCTTTAAAAAAAAAAAAAAAAAAAAAAAAACAGTCTTTTAGAAAAAGTTTAAAGATATATAGTTCATTTCTAACCATATCTGCATGCTTATTAAAGGTAGAAGGCTGAATATATGTTTTTCCAATAGTTAATTTCAAAAAACTTATCTTTTGTTTTTATATGTTAAGTATATGTGGTAAGTATGTTTTTTAAAACAGAACAAAGAATAAATTTATTAATTCTTAAGGGAAGCCTCAAAAGATCCAAATTAACCTGTGAAACTATTGTAAAAAAAAAGTTTTCAAATATCTATTTTTAACTTTAACTTCAACTTTTTAATTTTAAACAGCATCTACTAATGAAAAAATTTAGTTTAAAATTTATTTGTAATAAATTAAATAGACTATTTCAAAGTCAATACATTATTTTATAATATTTATAAAAATAAATTATTTTTTTCATCAACAACCAAAAAAAAAAAAAAAAAAAATTTAAATACCAAACCTTCTTTTGTTATCTGAAACCCACGAAATGTGGTTTTCTAATTCAGCTACTAAAGCATAGACATCACCACCTGTAAATCCTGGAATTGCTGTATCCCAACTAAAAACAAAGATTTAAATATAAGTATATAAGGAAAGTGGGGCATAACTGCATATGGAGGCACAACCATTTTTTAACATTTTCCTTTTAAAATTGTTATTTAATATGGTAAAAAACATACCACGCATTAGTAAAACAGTTTCCTTCATTTTACTTATGTCAAAAAGAATGCCTGTTACGTTTCTGAGAAGTTATGCATAATAATGTTTATTTTGATAAAAATTTATATTTACATCATACTTTTCTAGACCTTTTTTTTGAGGATTGAGCCTACACAGAATGCCTACACAGTATGCAAATGTGCAACAAAATCAGCAAATAATCTGAGCTGTGACAACTGTAAAGAAAAATGTACCAAGAAAAATGTACCCCTAACAATTTTTGTTAGGGTGCAGTTGTGCCTCACGATGGCGGCAAAACCGTTTTTTTCACTAAGTGTAATTTTTGTGTTATAATATTTTCAAAAACCACTTTATTTTTTTCTTAATTGCATCAATTTAAAGCTTAATAATGAGGTTATTGAAATAGACTGTTAAAAAAACACATTTCGTTTTTATTTTCATATAACACTAATCCAAACATTACGGGGGCAGTTATGCCCCCACTTCCTCTAATTATATAAATGCAAAGACAAATAGCATGATGATTATAGTTTAATGATTGAAGGTTGAAAACAAAAAGCTAATGATGGAATGTTAGAAATTTGTTGATCAAAGACTCAAGAATTTGCTTATAATAGAGAGAAGACTTATCAGACAATAGTTGGAGGGGTCAGAATGTTCTTCAGAGTTTATAAAAAATGGAACCACAAATATAATTTTTCAGCAGGCATAAAAACAAGATTCAATGAAACGCTTATTAAATAAAGAGTTCTGGAGAGCACTTTTACAAGACTATAACAGGTATGCTGTCTGGGCCCAAACTGTGTTAGGAGAGAACAAATGGAAAATTTATTTTATTCTAGTCACCTTCAGGAAAAAAAAGTGCTTCATAGCCCAAGGAAGATGTTTTTTAATCATCGCAGTGGTAAGTTTGTACTTTATCAGTGACTTTTTACACTTGAATCCCAACTCACAACTTTTCTTTCTTAAATATTCAAGTGAAATTTTGATTCTTTAGTCCTTTAAAAATCTTTCCAGTTTTATTGCTGGCCTTTTACAACTTGTTCTATAACTTTTTTGATTTTTCTGCCATCTTTAGCATTTGTTATTCTTTTTCTGCCACAGCAGCCTGTTTTCTGCGCTTTTAATTTAAACCCTGTTTTGAGTTAGGAATATATTCTTCTGACTGTATCCTGCATGACTTTGACAATTTTTGCAATATAATACCCATTATTAATCCCAAAATAACTGCAACATTTAATAATAAAAATAATAATAATAATATTAATAATAATAATAATAATAATAATAATAATAATAATAATAATGTATATATATATATGTTTGTTTTTGTTTTTTTTTATTTTAATAATTTTATTAAGAACTTAAATGAATGCTCATTTTGCAGGTTTTAATTTATTTAAAGTAGCAAATACAATAAAATTTTAAATTTTGATCTAACAATGTCTGAGGTTGGCAACTTTTTGCTTCAATACAGTGTTAAACTACAATAGTCTTACTTCGATGGCTTCAGAAGATAAATGTGGTGTGTATATTTATAAAATAGATTTATTTCAATGGAAGATAAATGTGGTGTGTAGATTGTTTTTTAAAATAGTTTTCCATTTGAACTGATAAAGTTTATGCAAAAAATAAATTAAAAAAAAATTTGTCAAAACATACAAATTATTAATTCTATGATTACTCATAGATGTAATTGTTTGTGTTAGCTATTGCTTTTACCTTCCAAAAGGATCTTTCTCAACCATGATTTCATTTGAAAATGATAGTAGAGACTCAACAAATTCTTTTGAACGAGATTTTAGTACTCCTTCCTTAAGAACAGAAAGTGTCAGACCAAGCGACGGTAAAGATGCAGGAAGTAGTTCGCACAGTGTTGCAAAATGGTCATACCTTTAAATTAATAAGATTATAATAATATCATTATAAGACAAAAAAAGAAAAACCAAAAAAAACTTCATTTATAAAAAAATATATATTATTTGTATATCTGTTTTGCAGATCAGAACTGAATATCTTTATTGTGATACCACCATAAGAAAGATTATTATGACAAATTTACAAGATCATTTTATCCTTACCCACAAATAAAGTTTTATATTTAAGTTTTCCTTCTCACAAGTTACCTTTATTATTCATCTTCACCAATTAATAGGCCTTACCTGCTCCAAAGAGACTAATTATTGTATAGAAAAAACTAGTTTTCCTATACTGAATATTACCTATGGTTAACTACTCTATATTAAATCTATATATTAAATATAGTTAACTATTCTATATTTTAAAAACTAAAATATGCAAATAAATATTCAATATTTTAAAAACTAGTTATTTGTTTTAAAATGAAAAACGATGACAAATTTCTAATAAGTTATCAATTTAAAAATATATTTTGTATGCTGACATGAAAAATGAAAAACGATGACAAATTTCTAATAAGTTATCAATTTAAAAATATATTTTGTATGCTGACATGAAAAATGAAAAACGATGACAAATTTATAATAAGTTATCAATTTAAAAATATATTTTGTATGCTGACATGAAAAATGAAAAACGATGACAAATTTCTAATAAGTTATCAATTTAAAAATATATTTTGTATGCTGACAATATGCAGTATAAATATGTTCAGATTAAATAATCACTCACTTATATAAAAAAACATGTTATAACAAAATTATGAGCTGTAATATTATGAGAAAACGATTTTATGAGAAAAAGATTTGTTGAGAAAAAGATAGTGGTTAATGATATGAATAGTCATTCATCACATTTGTTCTGTGTTCACATTTTGTAGAGATTTATCCTATCATTAACTTAATGAACTTAAAACTTTCCTATTATAAGACAGTTTTTTCATATCAGTTAGATATATTTACAATATACATAAGCTAGTATATAAGTTTAATGAGTTTTAATTAATTTAATAATAAAAAATAACTTAAATAAATTCATTTACAATTTTGATCATTTACTTTATGAAAAAAATGGTTGCAAGTAGACCTTAAGTAGCTTAATGACCGACTCAATATAAACAATAAAAACAATATCTATCTAAAAATAACAAACTCTATCTAAAATGTTATACCATCAGTTTAAAGATATGAGTTTAGAGCAAACTCATTTAACTAACTGATGTTGGATTCACACTGCTGACATATCTTAAGAAACAAACAACAAAAAAAAAAAAACCTTGCCCATCCTGTTAAAGCAATTCCAGAGATTTTAGTTTCGAGAACCTTGTTTTTCTCTAGTATTCGCAGCCAAGATTCATGATTTTTTATATGCATAGGTATTGGTGGTATGTTATTGTTGGGAGATAATGCACCTATAAACAATTTACATAACTACAACTTAACAAAATTGATTGAGCAACATCTAAATACAACATCTCAAACATTTTACCTTTAACATTTTTCAAACATAAATACATAAATATTAATGATGAATATATATAACTTGTTATTTACCATAACTTAATAATTATATTTAATGAGTATATATATAAATTGTTATTTAAAATAACTTAATAATGATGAATATATGTATATATATATATATATATATATATATATATATATATATATATATATATAATTTTTTATTTAAAATATTTTAATAACTATTAATAATGAGTAAATACAACTTTTTATTTACAATAACTTATTAATTATTATTAAGTACATATAACTTGTCATTTACAATAACTTATTAATTATTAATAAGTACATATAACTTGTAATTTACAACAACTTAAAAATTACCTTTAAATGAACTAGCTAACCATAAAGATTTAAAAGCTGCTAAGTATTTTTCCCACATATCTAAAGAAAAAGGAATCAAATTATGCAATATTTTAGAAGTCATTAAGGAATTTTACCACATATCTAAAGAAATAGTTAATAAATTAAACAATATTTTTGAACTCAATTTATTGATACGATCAATGCTAAATTAATAACTTTTAAAACAGATAAAAATCAGGGAGAGTCTGTATGGGGTGCAAAGGTTGCCAAGCACCGGAGCCCCACAATTATCTCAATTTTTAGGGACCCCATTTTTTTGCAGGAGAATAAAAAAGAAAATCATTCTTTGTTTAAAAATTTGAAATTCACAATCACAAACCTATTTTATGGTTTCCAAGCATAAATCAAAGTTTCTGACCATAAACTAAAGTTTAGTGCAACTTGTGTGGCCACACAAATTGCAATAAATTTTAGTTTATTTTTTTTTCCCTTGAGATGAAAAAGATTCTCAAAAATTCAGTGCTTCTTATTATACTAAAGTTCTCCCTTATGGTGAAAAAGTGGCTAGATGATGGTTGGTTTAATCAAAATTTTAATATGTGTTCTGCTTTTGTTGCAACTGTATTAAAAACATCTGTGCTTTTAACACAGATATTTTTAACAGATGCTGGTGGTGGTTTGTGTTACTGGCATAAACTGTCATATGAGAGCTATCATTCTGCATAGCTTAAAACTATCATTCTGCATAGCTTCCATATGAGACTTACTGTTTTCGTGAGTTTTTAACTCACGAAAACAGTAAGTCTCATATGGAAGCTATGAAATGGACTAATACAGAAAATGCATTAAAAATAAATAAAACAATTGATTTTGAGCATGAAAAAAATATAGATCAGGAAGGTAAACAATGGGCAGCTGTGTTATAAAGACTTCTTTCAATTACACATTTCTAAGGTGAAAGAAACATAGCTTTACATGGGTCAATTGAAAAGTTGGAAAATACAAGTAATGGCAATTTTTAGAGATTAGTTAAACTTTTGGCTAAAGAAAAAAAATTTTTTTTGCAAGAGCACATCAGGCTAATCAAATCAGAAGAAATTTTCACTGTTACCTTGGTACAGTTGCCTTGGTAAAAATATTTAAAATGAAATGATTAATCTTCTAGCTGATTCAATAAGAGAAAAAATTATGATGCAGAGCAAGAAAGCAAAATACTTTTTATTTATTCTAGACTGCACACCATACCTGTCTCACACTGAGCAAATGTCGACAAATGTTCGTATTGTTCAGATTTTTGTTTTAATTTTACCAGAAACTACCATAAAAGAATATTTTATTTCATTTTTGCCGGTAGACTGTCAAACAGGAGCTCACTTGACAGATGTTTTTTTGAATAAATTAAAAAAACTAGGATTAGACATGCAGAGCTGTCGAGGTCATGGTTTCGATAATGGAGCAAAAATGAAAGGTCGCCATTCTGGTGTTCAAGCAAGAACTTTTAGTGCAAACCTATATACTTATTTTGTTCTCTGTATTATTTAAAAACTTTGGCATATAAAATTTGCTGAATGGTCACACACGAGCAGTGAACACCTGAGGGAAGAAATGAAGTACATTAGAATAAAGGAGAATTATTTATTACACAAAGCATATTTTGACAGTTGTCAAGACAAAAATAAAGATTAATTAGAGGAATATTTAAAAATAAATAAGACAGGCTATACACCCACAACAATAATAACAATAACAATAAATTTAAAAAAATAAAAAAAATTGTTATATAAACACCAATATGAACGAAGATATATATCACCAGACAAAAACTTGTAAAACAAAAAATGGATCACAAAATAAAAAATTTGATAACAACAATGAAAGGCATTTAATAATGGAAAAAAAACATTAATGCTAATGTGTAAACATAATTTGTGTACTGATTAAGTAATAAACATCTCCTCAAAGTCGCGTCTATTATTACTGGTGTTTCGATGAGGATCAGCATTTATAACTAATTTAATTTAGTCCTAATTTGAATTAGTTTTATCTGCGCTGCAAAATCTTCAATTAGTTCAGTATTTTTTTCGATTTTATTCAGAATTTGTACACTTTTTTTTCTGCATCTACAAAGCCAAGGCATATTCTTTAAAATCACAGACAATCTGTTCAAAATAAAAATGGTGAACTAATTGTAATTTAAATAAAAGTTTTGAAAAATAATTATTTACCAGTTAACCAGTATCTAGCTATAACCCTATCAGTTAAAATATCAATTTTAGCTGAAAATTAATAGAACTATTATAATAACAAATGTTTTAACAATTATTAATAGTCTAAAATGTCTAATAATACAATTCAGCCCTGCACGAAGTCATATATATTTATTTATTATTCTTCATCTTTTTTCTTTTTATGAAAAAACTATATAGAAAAAGTTGGCAATTTTGAACAGAAAATGTACATATATATACGCTATAATAGATAAACTATATATATTAATGGAACTATATATATAATAGTTTATTGCTTGCCCAGCCCTTAATCAATGTAGCAGCACTTCTTTGCATGTTCTACCTAGCCAATCGATGTATGTACTAAAGCTCTTACAGCAACCTATTTCAGTATAACATCATCAGTGTGTATCTATGCATTTATATATATTATATATTATTAATATATTACTCATATATATTCATATATGTGTGTAAATATAGTAGTAATAATAGTAGCAATATATTTGAGGTATGAGCAATTATTTGGTAAGTGTATCAAGTATTAAAGGTATTACAAAAGTTACGTATATATTTTTTAGTAATTCACAATTAAAACTTAAAAAGGTATTTCTCAACATACCCAAAATTTTATTTGCTTCACTTGTATATAGAGTAATTTGATTTTTCTATTTTAAGCCAGAGGTAATACTACACAAAGATTTTTTTCAGTGACAATCGTACTTAAAAGTATATTTTGCATAAAATAAAACATAAAATATACTTTTGAAAAACACTTTTTTTCTCTTTTTTAAATCTATTTAAATCTTAGAAAAATTTAACAAAGCTGTAATTTAGAACCGATTGAAAGTTTTAGGAAAAACAGCAAGTCTTTTTGGAAAACAGGGCAGTATTTGATGCACCCTAATATGTGTGTAATAATAACAATAATAATAATAGTAATTATATATAAATATATATACACGTATACATGTATGTATGTATGTATGTATGTATGTATGTATGTATGTATGTATGTATGTATGTATGTATGTATGTATATACATGTGTAAAAAAACAAACCTTTTGGAAAGTGATTGTCTAAATTCGGTCCATAACCCCAAACCATAATATCTGTGAGATTTGATAATTCTAATTAAAAGTATGTTTAAATAAGATATATATATAAATATATATACAAATAAATATATATATATATATATATATATATATATATATATATATATATATATATATATATATATATATATATATATATATATGTATATATATTAGGGTGTCCCAAAAAACAAAATTTTTGAAAAATATATGCAGAGACCCCCTTTATGTGTTCTATATAATAAAAGAACACATGGATTTAAAAATTTTTTGAATAAAAAATATTTTTAGGGGTCCCCCAAGACCCTTGAACATTTTATAGGTCCCTAATATTAATAAGAAAAACGTTTTTCAAAAGTAAGTCTTGTTGGGTCTCAAAAGAAGCAAAATTATATAAAAACTTCAAAAATAATCATCATTTCATAAAAAAACAGCTATAAAAAAAAAAAATCATCAAAAAATCTTGTTAAATTCCTTATTTTTTGTTTTAAGTTAAAAAACGTCATTTTCTATTCACTAAAATCTAAAATAATAATTTTTTTTTTAGCAAATCAGAAAAATTTGCAATTTTAAATTCATTAACATTTGAACACTACAGAAATTATTGCTCTGAACACCTTTCTTGGAGAGGTCCTTCAATAAATGGTTTAGTAATGACGGTATGGATGAGCCCTACTTCAAATGGAGGGCTCATCCATACCGGGGTGTTGGGAGACACCGAAGAAAAAACAACAACCAAATATCTTCTACCAGTAAAAATATTTATAACTTTTTTGTTGCCGTGTTTTCTTCTGTGATTTTTTTTAAACTTTGTAATTTTTATTTTTAATTTTATAGTTTTTTCTTTTAATAATATATTATGTTATATATTTGATTTGTTTTGGTCTTTTTTAATTAATATTTTAATTGTTTTTTCACCAATTAAACATAAATATAGTTAAATTATCCAATTATAGATAAATATAGTTAATTGATTATCCAATTATCATAATACAATAATGCTTCATTCTATTGTTAAAAATAATTAATTGGTAGTTTTATTTATTGAATCACTGCCTTTAAAATTTACTATAAGCTAAGACAATATATTTAGCTATATAAATGCATTTATATAGCTAAATTATAATTTATTTATATCTTAATATGGATTTTTATCTTTAATGTTTATAGATTGGCTCATTGAAGCATTTTATATTTTGCTTTTTAATTAAAATATTCTAAATCTATTGTGATGTCTTTTAAATTAAACTAAAATTTACTGAAACCCAACATGAAATAATGTCATTAAATAACACAGACAAAAACATGCTGCATGACAGCAACTGAAGTATGACAATAGGTTACCGAAAGCAGGTAAATTGTTTTCCTGTTAATTTTTTTTTCTTTTTTTCTTTTATGTCTACTTATCTGTTACAATTTTTATTTTAGGTTGATGATATAAAGCATTAATGCGATATAAAATATCAAAGTTTACATATCTTTTTAAACTTGTTATACACATGTTTGATTGTAAATTAAATTTTGTTTGTTTGAAACGTATTTGTCATCAATTGCTTAGTTATATTATAATAAACTTAGTTATATTTAATAAATTTATTTAGTTGTGTGCATTTAATGTTTTTAAGATAACAATTTTCTTTTTTAAAGAAAAATTAATTTAGGGGATACCAAAAAATTGATAACTCCTGTATAATATAAGTTAACTTCATGTTAATCTTAATAATTAATCAAAGTTCATGTAATAAATAATATTACAAGAATTTAGTTGATATTTTTGTCAATTTAAAGCAAGATGAAGTGTAATTATTTTGTGTCAGTGACTAAAAACGTATTGTGTTGAACTTAGAAATGTTGAGGAAAATGGTTCTGCCTTACACTGATATGACCTATGTCAGTTGTAAATTACTTAATGTTAAATAATAATTGTAAAGTAAAGAGTGCTTTCCCCTAAGTTGAACTTTTTAAGTTCCCTGACTTTTCCCTGACTTTTCTATATTCTTTCCGGTTCATCAACGAGATTAATATCTTTCATACTTAAACACAATCTTTATATTTGACAAACTAAAACTTTTACAACAACACCCATATCTTGCAAATTCTTTATTATTTAATGTATTAGCAAAATATATGTTTTCTTAAAAAGCATTGTACAAAATTTCAAAAAAAAAAATATTTTTCCCTGAATTTTATTAAAATTTTAAAAAACCCCTGGGTTTTCTATGTTGAGTGGCAACCCTACTTAATAGAATTTCACTGTAATAGTATTAAACATACTGCAGCTATTTTTAAATATATTCATATCTTAAAAGTAGAAAATAAAATATTTCAATTTTTTGTTCTTACAACTCTTCTAAACACTTTGTTTTTGTGTTAAGCAAACTCTAAAAATCATTTTAAATGCTGTTTTCAAATGAAGCCCTAATTCAAAAAAACAAAGTTTTTTAATTTGAAGACCTAACATACCAGTATACCTACATAAGAACAGTGAACAGAACAGTTATAAAAAGGTATTCTTTGATATGTGATAAATGGAACTTTGTAACTAAGTGATAAACAAAGGAAAGCATAGAGATGAACTTACTTTGCATCTCCACTAAAGGCCAGTTTCTTATCATATCATCCCAAATTATTGGTCTCACACGCAGATTTGTCTTTTTTTCAATATATTTTAAAATAGGGACCATATGATGGAGATAAATGTGTTCCTTTTGCATGCCACTTTCTTTACATCTGGCGCAATCTTTCAAGTTGAAAACCTGAATAAATATGAAACTAATTTTTATGATTAATATCCAGTAACATATATATCTAACCTTTTTGTCTATTTTAATAAATAAAAACTGCTGGTATATAATCAGACGATATACAGATTTCTGATATATATCTTGCTGTTGACATAATTATTTTCATTTACTCTAAGAAGTGAATATTTAGTTTTAAATACAAATTTTTGATGACAGAATATTGAATAATAAAACGATCAAGCAATGACAAGCATTATTGTTTAATAAAAAAAAGTAAACATAATTTAATGAGACTATTTTATAATTTTAAAGCATCAGCAAAATGCACAAAAGAAAAGCAAAAATTTATATAGAAAACTCATTTTATAAATGGAAAAGTGTTTGAAGCTTAAAAAGTTTTATTGAATTTTTATGTGGTAGTAGTATTGTGGTAGACAGCTTGCTTTGTAAATAAAAAAGTTCCAAATTCAATCCCCACCATGTCCCTGGTAGGACTGTGCTCAATTCTCAGCCAATCTTCCTTATTTGTCAAAGGACATGTTTAAGAGTTCAAAGGTTGAGAGAGGGTTTTGCCTACACAATGTCTACACATTATTTGTTTACGCTGTCTACACATTGTTTGTAAAAAATTATTTTTTGAAAACTCAGAAATTATAATTTGTAGTTTTAAGGATCATATAAACATTCACAGGTATAGATTTTGGGTCTGTTATTACATTTTAAATAATCATTTAAATAGTATTTTTTTTAACTGTCATTTTAATGTTGTTCCAAAAGTGAAGAGTTGTCTTTGTTGGAATAGTACCTTTTTCAGTACAATTTCATTTATTTTTAAAATAATTGATTAATGGCTATATTTTGCATTTTTCTAGTTAAATATCTTATTTTCTACGTTTTGAAAGATTTTAAAAAGTAATTACCATAAAAAAAAAAAAAAAAAATTGTAAAGCTATCTAATCATGTGATCGCATTCTTTGAATTACACAGGGTAAATTATACAACCATATAATATTATACAACCATTTTAATATTAGGTTTTTCGTGTTTAAACCGCAAAGATTTAAAATACAAGTTATAATTTATAAACTTATTCTATAAGTTGCTGTAAGCATGATACTACGGTGACATAAAAAAATAGCTAAAAGCTACCTTGATTGGAACTATAAAAAAATAGACCAAAGTTACTTTGCTTGCAACTATTAAGTAACCATTAAATAATAAAATTATTAGGTTTTTGAAGAAATTGTTTAAGCGCAATTTTAAAAAAATATCAAATATACAAAATATATATTAAAAAATAAATATACATATAAAGATTGTTTTTTTTTACATTTTCTATTAGATAAAGTTTTATCAATTTTTTAAGTATTTATAGTTTCATCTCCTAACCAAAAAATTTTGATGCAAAAGTAATTATTTGCTAGTAAGGCAATTTCTAGCTATAATCTCTTTCAGCTAAAGTATAAATTTTTATACTAAAATATCCTAAAAATACATTTATTTTTAAGCTGTTTTTTTGTTTTTTTTTAAATTAAATGAGTTATTTTAACAGTTACAGTAAAAATAAAATAAATTTTTGATTGATTTTTGTTGATGTTACTGCATTTTTTTAAAGAAGCAATACATGCCAAATTAAGAAATCATCTGCTCCCATTTAAAATCAGTTCAATATCATATTAAATTAGAAAATATATCCTAAATAATTATTAATTTCAATAATTGAAATCATCTTTGTAAAGCAACCATCAGTAAGAATATAATCTACCTCATCACCTCCTAGGTGTATTAATGTAATATCTGGATGCACAGATAACACTTGATCAACCATCTTCAATACCATACTTAATGTTTCTAAAAACATGAAAAAACTGTATAACGCATAGTATATACAGTCATACAGTCTTGTGTAATGTATTAAATTTTTTTTTTTTGTTTTGTTTCATTTATTATTTTTTTAATGATTTAGCTTCTCTATGATTACAAAAACTGGACAAAAAAAGAAAGGAGAATGGTTGTTAATATGAAAAATGAGCTTAATGATAGAGTTGACAAGACACTAGATAAATGCTAACTTTATCAAGCTATTCATTACTTACATGTAATAATCTTAGATAAACCATACTTTAAAGTAATTTTAAATATTTTTGTGACAAAGTTATAATTAAGTAAATTTAAAACAAATATTTACTCAGGAGCATTTGCAATATTTACAAGGTTGTTTCCATTAAATCTAATTACAATTTTTTTTTAAACACTCAGCAAAGGAGCTGCTACTTTTTGAAATCTTGAATCTGTTCCAAGATTCATTAAGAAAGCTGTAATAAATTGCTTTAACAACTTGCTCAAAGTAGTAGCCCAAACCATGTGCTTTTACTGCACAAAAGGCACTTATTTATTTTATAACAACATTTATTTTCATTAAAACAGTTATTCCATAACCATCAACAAGTATTATGTATTGATTCTCAAAGTTTGTAACATGTGTTTGTAAGTCACAATGTAGTTTTTGTTCAAAACAAGTTGTTTAAATTTTAAAGCCCCTCTGTCAATGGTTTCAAGTTAATTGGCTCATATGCACTAATTGTATATTTTTTAGGACTTTCAGGTAGGCATTCTCATTAAAAGCATTTTTCTGATCCTCTTTTGGAATGTTCGGAATAATTGAAAATTTACCAACTTCATTTTCACCAAAATATTTCTCTATATGATTTTAAATATGATTAACAGCTCTCCCCATAAGGTGAAACTGGAAAAAAAAAGTAATGTCCCCCTAAGTGGTTGCTGGTTTTTGCCTCTATCAATGGAGGATTAATAAATTGCAAAAACTTTTAGCATTACATTTGATTGAACCTAATTGAGAAAATTTTTTGTGTTGCCGCTCCAAAATCCAAAATTTCTAAGATTTTCTTCTTTAAATGGTTATATACTTTTCCATATGCTTATATGGCAAGGTTATATAGCTATAATACTTGGAGATGAACCAGACATTATTTGACAAAGTTATAGATTAGCTACATTTGATTCTCACTCAGCTCAATTGATGCTGATAATTCAATGAATAATTATTACTATAATGAGTATAAACATTTTTGCTGTAATAATAATATATATATTATGAAGAATTTAATTCTTAATTTAATTTGATTCTTACCATTATGAAGCGGGCATGGAAGATTTGCATACTCAGGAGTTTCTCTTAAATATCGAAATTGCTCATGTTTAAGAACAAACTAAAAAAATAATAATATCAATTTTAAGTTCAAAATTAAAACGCTTTTTTATAATCTTCTTGATATTTTTATCTAATCTGAAAAAGTCACTCCTAAGTCTATAGAAGACTCTTTAAGAACTTTATTAACAACATGGTATTTAAGAACTTTATTAACAACATGGCATTTAAGAACTTTATTAACAACATGGTATTTCAAGTATTTTTAACTTTATTGAAATTACACAAGACAAAATTTTTGTAGAACTAATCTAAAGTTTGACAAGTTGTGTTTATTTTATAAAACATTAGAAAGTAAGTTAAACATTAAGTAAAGTAACATTAGAAAGTAATAATTTGATTTTAACATATTAAAAAAAATCAAATAATAATCATTACCTCAAAATGGCCAAATGTTTGAACAAGTGGTATGACCTCCATGTTCAATTTTTTAGCTGTATCCAAAAGTTCTTGAATCTCAACTTTGCTATAGTTGATAAATAATAGTTAATAAGTAGATAGCTAAAAAAGTAGATAAATAAACAAATAATAGGTAATACAGTAGATAAATAAATAAATAATAGGTAATAGAGATTATAAATAAATAACAGTTAATAAAGTAGATAAATAAATAATAGTTAATAAAGTAGATAAATGAATTTGCTTCCAACAAGGCTGCAAGCAACCACTAATTAGAGTTGGAAGTTACTGGAAAAGAAAAGAGGAAGATTGTAGAGCAAGATAAGGATTGACAGACGACTTAAAAAATTACAAGCAAGATGAAGGAAGCGAATTCCAAAGAACTGATGTTCAAGGAAAAAAACTAGACAAATAAGAGTTTTTGGAGCACTTAGGAACAGTAACAGAAAAATGATGAGACTTAATTGAATAACGAGTAACACGAGAAAGAGATGCAACCTTAGCAGATCCTAGTTTTGCAATGAATTTGATATATGTTTTCAAAGAAAGATTAGAAGTAAGAGTTAATCCTAGAAGATGAAGGGTAGATGACTCATCGAGTACATTACCATTCATAAAAATAGGAAGATCTAAATTATATTAATTATAATAATTAGTAAATAAAGTAGATAAATAGTTAAAATGTATAAGTGTAGTTGGAATAAAACTATTATTTTTGGCAATAATAATAAAAATGAAAATAAAAAATTGAACATTTAAACATGTTTAATAACTTTAAAAATTGCTCTTAACATCAAAGGCTTTGGATATTCTGGCATGCTTGATTTCTATTTGGTGATCTAGGAATGTTTTTAAAATAATTGAATCATTTCTTTCCAAATGGGAATTTTTCTGTTGTTGATATTAAAATACAACTATTATAGTCGTACATAAATGCTAACACTCATTTTTATTTACAGTAACTTCTGGGTTACTACAAGATTCCATCCACGGTCCTATATGATTTCTCATCAATATTGATTTTCTGACAATATTACATTTAAAATGACTCCATTTGCTGGCAACACAGAAAATATACTTTTTAAGCACTTAGATCTTGAGTGAAATATCTTTTCTGTAACAGCTTGGGGTTTAAAATGGCAGGTGAATTAAAATCTAAAAAACCCAGTTTTTTTACTGTTATAAATGTTGCAGTGTTGTTGTTATTCTTAGATTGATGAATGGTAACACTCTTATTGTTTCCTTTACTTTACATCTTCCCATACTATCTTTCACAATTTACCTCTCATGGAAACCATAAACAAAATTTATTGCATAGCACCTGCTAAAGTTGCTTCTTTTAATTGTTGTCAAGATTCTCTTCCAATTCTATTTACTACCTCTGTAAACCTCTTATTCCCCACCCTATGGAATACTATCTAAAGTTAGACAAATATAAACTATTGAATATAAACTAATTGAATTATTAACTTGTTTCAATATTTTAGTTACTCAGAAGAGTAACCAGTAGTGTTCTGAAAAAAAAAAAAATTTATGTTTTTATTTTTTTTCTTTAATTCTAAATGCATAGCCACAGAAGCATTTATAAACAAATTAAAATGCAAAATATTTAAAATTAAAACTCCATAAGTTGAAATTTTTTCTGGAAAGAACTATGTTTAGCATTTATCTAACTGTTCTGTTAATACCATGTAAAAACAAAAAGTTTTATGACGCCATTCATAAAATTTCTAGAAATTTAATTTTTCACAGTTGTGGTATATCAGGGATTACTTTTAGGTTCAATCAACTGTTAGGAAATATAATAAAAGCAGTGTAACAATGTAAATTTAAAACATAGAATGTACTCTGTACCTCAAAAACTAATATATTGATTAACAAACCACACCTGTATGCAAAAGGGGATGATATTTGGTGCAGAAGTCCAGAGTATGGAAACATGTCTTCATATTCTATTAATAAACCTGAAGCACCAAGAGACTTAAGTAAAGGCAAAAGCTGCAAAAAAAAAGGTTTGTCAGAAAAAAACATTTAACAATTGTATAAGGAAAAGTTCACTTAGCCATAATAGTGTTATTAAAATAACTGGACTATAAAGTCAGTAAGCTAAATAAAGCTAACAACCACACCAAAAAAATCTTACTTTAAGAAAATATGAATGTTTTGGAGGTGCACCCTTCAAATCAAAATGAACAATTCTAAAAAATAATTTTATAAAAATTCATAAAAAAGACTGTAGGGTGTAGGTGTATCTATGAGTGTTCATGATCTCTTCACCCAAGAAGGAAACAATTTGGAAAACAACTTTACTTACCGCTTGAAATTAGTCCTAAATTAAAAAAAAAATAAATTTAAAACTCATAACAAATTCAATAAAATTTATAAATGTAAATAATAAATAGTAAAGTTATATCTATTCTTCTGAATATTAAAAAAAACCTTTTGTGTTTTAACCTTGACCCTGCAACTGCTTATTTTTATAAGGTTAGCCTAATAAAATTGAATGTATTTTTATAACACAATTTAAAATTATTTTTTTTTAAGTTTTATCTAATTTATTTTAATACTGGTCTACACAAAATGTCACTGATAATGTAGCCAACGTAGATTTCTATTTCATACTAAAATAAAAATCTCTGATGGCTTCCATACATACATCGTTTGAGGAATTAGGTAGACAGTATCTAGATATCAAGGAGAATTATGCTGAAAAAAATTGATTTTATTTTTTATTACTCTTCTTTGTAATCTTTTTAATTTAATTTAATAGAAAAAAGCCTGGATCAAAGTCAGCATTTTAAAAATTAAAGTAAACAGTATATAAATGTATTAAGTTAACTTTAATAAGTATCAATGATAAAAATTTATTTTATTCAATAACTCAGTTTTCTCAAAACTTAAATATATAAAGATATCAGTTAAAAATAATAAAAACAGTAATTAAATATGTATTTTAGCATTTATGGTAAAAAGTCTAAGAAACTAACCAAATATGTAAAAATCTCAAATGTTTCAACAAAAATCTTTTTTTTAAGCTAACAAATATGTAGAAGCCACAAAACTTCATTATAAAAAGATCAATTTAAAAAAAGTAAACTTAGATTTAAAAATGTTAAAAACTAAAAACCTTTGTGTCTTTAGCTTGATAACTTTTAGAACAGGCTCCACAAAAGTCTCCACTTGGACATTATTTTTAGTATCTGTATGAAAAGTAAAAAAAAAAAAACAAGTGCAATACATTAAAATATTGATTATTCTGCAAAGCTTTTATTGCCTAATTTTAAAATTCAGGTTTTAATATAAACAATAAGCTTTTAAAACCTGTTTTTTAACAGAACTACTAACCTGTTGAAATTTGGTTTTTCTCAAAATTGCATTTAAATAGCTTCACTAAATGAGATAAAAATACTAAAAAAACATTTTAATAAATCATGTATTTTACAAATTATGTGAGTTTACATTATTAATTTATAACAGTTGAATTTCAAGGTACCAAATGAGATTCAAGGAACATTAAAATGGGTTTATATCCATGCATCAAACAAAAAAAAGCTTTCAAGTATCAGACAAAAAAACTCAACATTACAAATTGAAAATGTAAAAACAGTATTTCCTACAGCCTTTTTAAAATCGTTTTAAAATAGATTAGATAATGCAAAACACAGAAAAAACAAAAATTATGCCATATTTCTAAATTTTATCTTCTTCAATACACCTCTACTTACAGTCATTATTAAACTTTAACTCCAGCTGACAAAACTACCAACATGTTCAAAATATCTAAAGATGATAACAACCACCTAAAAAACGCAATCATTTCCATTTATAGAAAGGCTTATCCAAAACTAAAGGACGTAGTAAATAAAGAAAGTAAGCAAACTTTGACAAACCGTGATATTTTTAATAGAATCAGAATGAACCAAACTGCCGATTGTTTTATAACTTTAAAATATCATAAAGCCAACTTCCTAAACAACCCTACTGTGCATTTTTTAAATCCTGCAAAGAATGAGGCAGGAAGACTGTCAAAATTTATTTTTTATCCAATTTCAACTTGGATAAGAATCAGGCTCTGTTTAAACCAATGGCAAAATATGCAGAATGCAATAAATTGGTTCCGAAAAATTGACAATAAACACCTTTGTAAATTTTTAGTATTTGACATAAATGATTTTTATCCATCAATTGATGAAAACATACTCAATAACGCAATAACCTTCGCCGAGCAACATATAATAATAGATAAGCAAATCCATTATGCATCATGCAAGAAAATCTTTTATTTTTAGCCGTGGCATACCATAGATTAGAAAGAAAGCAGTATTGTTTGATGTTACCATAGGAACCTATGATGGCGTGGAAGTTTGAAACTAGATGGGATTTTTCTTTTAGGTCAACTTTCGCAGTTTTGCAACAAAAATGATTTCGGTTAATATCGAGATGACAGGTTAGCTGTTTTTAAGAACAAAAATGGCCATCAAATGGAACAAAGAAAAAAGTATGTTCAAGTTTTCAAACATAACAATCTCAACATCTCTATCAATAGCAATATTAAAATTGTTAACTACCTTGATTTAACTTTTAATCTTATTCAAAATTCATTCTAACCATACTGCAAACCTGATAATAAGCAAAGTTATGTACATGATGATTCTAACCATACACCTAACATAATAAATACTCTTTCAAAAAATATCAAGCTAAGATTGTTCGCAAACTCATCAAGTGAAGTCATTTTTAATAAATCGACACATCTTTATGAAGACGCATTAAAGCAATCGGGATACACTTATAAGTTGGCATATAAACCAAGCACAAAAAACGTTCCAAAAAATAACCACAAACGAAACATAATCTGCTACAATTCTCCATTTAGTAAAAATGTTACAACCAAAATTGGTCAACACTTTTTAACCCTAATTGACAAGTATTTTCCTAAAAACCACTAACTACGCAAAATAATATAACAGAAACACAATTAAGATAAGCTACTCTTGCATGCCAAACATTAAATCTATTATCAACTCACACAACAAAAATATTTTATATGGTGATGTAAAGTTATCAGAAAAAACCTGCAATTGCATTAAAAAATCACTTTGTCCACTGAACAACAATTGCTTGTCTAACAAAATTGTTTACCAAGCCACTATAAGCTCAAATAAACTTCAATAGAAAGATAAAGTATACATTGGGATAAGTGAAACCTCTTTTAAGCTATGGCTATGTTATGCGAACTATCTAAAAACCTTTAACATAAAAAAATACAAGAACGACACTGAGCTGATTAAGGAAGTATGGGAATTAAAAGAAAACATTTTTACATTTTCAATCAAATCGAATAATATTAAACGCTGTAAAATATACAATCTTGTGTTAAAAATCTGTAAGCTTTGTTTAAACGAGAAATTCGAAATATTATTTTACAAAAGAGACAGTCTGCTAAACAAAAGAGGCGAATTAGTTTCTAAATGTAGACACAAAAATAAATTTCTCCTTTCATTATTTGATAGCGGAGATTAGTTTTCCATTACATCTTCTTGTACTATAACGTCAGAACTTATTCTAATGTAATTTGTAATTTCTTAAATGGTTTTTTATATTTTTTATTTTGTATTTCATGCCTGATGATTGCCAATACGCATAAAACTTTAAGTTCCATTAAAAGTTGTTTTTTCTAAATTTAAGTATAAAATGCTCTGTTTTTGAATAAATATTGCTTAAATATAGAGCACTCTACATTGATCAAGAGTTTAGTATTTTTAATAATAAATCATACAACAACTATATATATATATATATATATATATATATATATATATATATATATATATATATATATATATATATATATATATATATATATATATATATATATATATATATATATCAGGCCTTGCGATAAAGCGTCGGGCGATGTGAATTTTACGTCGTCCAAGGGCGATTTTGCGTGTAGCTAGGGCTATTTGCGTCGAGCAAAAAATTTTTTGTTTGAGTATATTTAAAGATATTTTTGAGCGGAATTTTAATGAAGTAATTGACGATTATTTTAACATTTAATAAAGTATTTTAAAAACCGCATGCAGTTGAAATAAAAGTTTGAATTTAAAAAAATTAAATATGCTCATTATTTTCAAGTAGAAAAAACTCAAAAATTAAAAAAAAAAGTTTAAATCTTTTAAGCTAACATTTTAATAAAATTATTCAGCAATAGCAACGTTGTCGATAAAATTGAACAAAAATACTTTCTTTTAGTTTTAGATTTTAAACTTAAATAATTATTTTACAGGGGTTTGATAGGTTTTAAAATTATTCCATAGATTTAAAAATATTTATTAACTGTTAGACGTATTTAAAGTATTTAAGAGTGATTTCGAGGAAACATTTTAAAAATTGCTGAGGGCAAATAAAAAAAAAAAAAGATTAATATTAAAACGTATTCTACTTGATTCAATGAAAAAGTACAGTTATTAAAATTTTTGTAAAAAGTAACTCAAAAAAATTACTTATACTAAATAATAACGATCGCTTTTATGTTAAAAGTTACCGAAACTCAACGAAGCGTGCTCAAGAACAGCTGCTGAAAAATAGATCGTCAATAGTTTTTCGAATAATTTTTAAGAATAATTTTTTCGCTAAAATATTTCTTTTATACCTATAAAATTTTTATTCTAACATTTTATTTTATTTTACTAGAAAGAAAATTCCTTGTTAACATTAAAAATCTATTCAAAACGTTCGTTTAAGTTTTTTATTAATACGAGTGATTGTGCTTATCAACCGCTTTATGAAAATAAATAAAAATAAATAAATAAATATTATATAAAATCGCTTGTAAAAATATTAGCTATTGCACAGTTTTTAATCGTACAATATTAAAATTTCCAGTTTATTACTCGCTGACTTTTTAAAAAGAAAAAATAATTATTTGAAAAACTTTAAATTACATATTTAAGAAAAAAAAAAATCAAATATTAGCATATTTTATAATCTTTTTTAAATTTAAGTTATAATGTTTTTTATTCGTTTAGTATAGACAAAACGTGACAAACTCAAGAAAATAAACAAATGTTTTTACATTTTAAAAAACGAAACATTCCAAAACATTTTTAAATAATAACATTTCTACATAAACGATTTAAAGTAGTTTTGCGGTAATTAAATAAATTGATGCAGTTAATGTCGATAAATATGAAAAGCAAATAAAAAGAATTTAATGACGTCAAAAATCACGTCGTGCTTATGCGTCGCGCAGCTCTTATTCATCGCAAGGCCTGATATATATATATACATATATATATATATATATATATATATATACATATATATATATATATATATATATATATATATATATATATATATATATATATATATATATATACATATATTAACGAAGAATAAACTACTTTTTCTATAGTACTCTAAAGTTTCATGCCTATACAGCAATCATTAGCCATTGAATACAAAATCAAAAACAAAAAAACCAACTAAAAATTACAAAATTGTGTAGTGGGATCTTTACTTCGCTAAGAGACATGCTTGATGGCAACCAAAGATAAACAAAATATTACCTAATCACCAGTTCTAGCTTTTTAACTAAATGCTTATAAAAAAAATCTACTTAAATTATTCACAAAATATTACCAAGTCATGGAGAATTACCATATTGTTTCAAAGGTAAAACTATAAAAAATCTAAACAGTTAATGGAAAATACAATAAAGAAAAAACAAGATTAAATGGAAGTGACTGTCTGAGTTTGACTTAATTTATAGCATCCGGGTGAATATTTTGAAGAAGCAGAAGCACGGACAGATATCAAAAGTGTCAACTTACTGGTATTGGAATCTTTGGAGGCATTACATTAATCCCAAATCTGGTGTGAAAAACCTGAAGGTAAAAATTTGTTTAGTAAAACTTTTTCAATTTAAGGAAAGCAAAATGATTTGCAGCAAGATACATCGTGAATTTGACCATTTGAAGCATGTACTTTGATCTCATTATGTGCATGATTGCCATAGTTGGTTTGAAACTTCTTCTCTGGAAACTAGTAATGTCGTATTGCCTTCTGGTATTGGAAAAGCCATCACATACACTGGATACTATCGATGACTGCTTTACTCCATATTGCTGCTAAAACATTCATGCCATAAAAGGAAATTATTTTTTTCCAATTCTTCATTGATTATATTTCCATCTGCACCAATATGAGAACCAAAATGTTTATGATCAAATATCAATCTACAAATGTCATGGGAAAAGGGAGCCACTCTGCGTTCACATGAATCATATGCACTAGGCTTCTTGGAGTTAAAACAACTATTTACATGCCAAGATCATATTACAGAAAATTATTGATTCTTCAATAACTTTCGGATACCATGCAAT